ATCGGTTTATTATAAAGGATATGACAAAGGATATAGATGAAGAGATACACTTGGCAAGGTATGGGGAAGAATATAGAGCTTTTGTGTCTTCTTCGGGGGCACCACACTCCCAATAACTCCATGTGTTCACCAACCCAGAAGCTCTATGAGTTCTGTTGTTTAGGAGTTTTATGGAGATTTCATTACACAAACATGATTGATTAAATCATTGGCTTTTGATGACTGGGTCAATTATCAGCTCCTCTGCCTTCCTCAGAAGTGGGCTGGGGTGTTGAAAGTTCCAAATCTTTAATCGCCATGGATGGTTTCTCTGGCAACCAGACCTCACTCTGAAGCTATCTGGAGACTTTCAGCCACCAGTCATCTCATTAACATACACAAAGACAGTTATTATTTAGGAGATTCCAAGGGTCTTAAAAGCTCTTGTGCTGGGAACCAGGGACTAAGACCAAATGTAACAAAAGAACCTCTTATCATCCCTATCAGTCAGGAAGTTATAAGGATTTTAGAAGCTCTGTGCCAGGAGTTGGGAGGAAAGACCAAATATATATTTCTTATGATGTCACAAAGGCTCAGAGAACCCTGATTAAAGCTGGGTCAAGGAGGGAGTCTTTGTCAGATAACACATCTTGAATTTGGACCTAAATGAAGATGATGTGGATCAGAGACTGAGGAAACTAATAAACCAAGGGCATGGCTGAATTGTCCATGTTAACCCTGGGGACCCCTAAGGGCTGAGTGGGAGGCAGTGTGGCTTGACTGTGCAGAGGAGTCAGTAGCCACATGAAGTACAAGAGTTCTCCTTACTCATCCTATGTCAAAATGACAATATTTTTTGCAAATTCTCCATTCCTTAGAGCAACAGTCCTCAAACTTTAGCATGTATTAGGATCAACTGGAAGCCTTTTGAAAACAGACTTCTGGGCCCACCCTAGGGCTTCTGGGTCAGTGAGCCCAGGAGAGATCTGAAAACTGCATTTCTAAGTTCTCAAGTGATGCTACTGCTACTGGCCAGAGGACTATGCTTTGAGAACCAATTTCCTAGAGATAGAAGTCAAGAAAGGGAAAATGATGATTGATTGAAGGATTGCCAATGTCCTTTTCTCAGGGCCTCTACTCGAGATTTCCCTCAATAGTGTCTCATTTGAGGAAGGTGATAGGTGGTCTCCACAGCCTTACCCAGATGGGCTTTACTGGGCTAGTGCCTGCATCTCCACTTGCTCTGAGTTTTGGCTGCTAATGGCTCAGAGCTGCCCCTTTAGAGTATTACTCTCAGTGGCCACCTTCTCCAGAGAATTTTCTTCAGCCAAAGGGAGCCACCTCACCTGGGAGTGTATGCCTCTAGAGTTCAAGGGTGGGTCCATAAGCCAATGACTGACTCACGTGGGCTACCTTGTAGGCTATGTCTCATCATTCAAGATGGGACTGATTATAGCGTGATTTTTTCTGAAGTTAAACTCCAGCAGAAATTGCATTTTAATTCTCTCTTTTCCTGGCCCTGTCCTGCTTCACAGATTCCCTTTCTTCTGAGACCATTCTTTCAATAAGTTATATGTGCCTCAATTCTTGTCTCAGATTCTGTTTACAGAGAACAGAAGCCAAGTCAAGAGGTGTTCATAAGACCACAGAAGCAAGATTTTATGTGCTCTGGGATAGACTGTGTCCTACTTCTCGTATTTTGAGACTTCACCTCCCAGAATTGACACGGGCACTCTCCAAGGCTAAGAGCCACCTGTGTCCACACAGTCCACAGAAAAAAGATATTACATCCACAGATTAACTGCCACAGGGGAGACCACAGTGGTGTATTACCTCCTGCTATGGGCTGCTTTGCAAATCTGGGAATAGGGTGATTAGAGAGGGTCTAAGTCCTGGTTTTCTGGGACCTTAGAATCTTCCTGTCCTGCCTGATACTCTTTCCAAAAGTTTTGTGATCAGCAGAGCCTTAATGATTCTAGATGCCTGGTAGGTTGTTTGTGGGGTAGTGGATTTATGGACCCAATTAGCTCTAGTGTACCTGATTTGCATAATAAGTTGTGGGAACTTCTGGTTAGAAGAAAAAAATTCCACAGCAATAATGGTGCCTGTGATGGTAATGATGATAATCACCTGATAGTAAACTTTTAACTGCTATGATAGACTGGAGCTCCTGAGGCACTACTGGGAAGTCCACCTACTTCCAGAAGGTTCTAAGTGTAACTTTCCTTGGGGACTAAGTTCCGCTATAGGGATTGGTTGAGGAGGAGAGAAGTGGAAAACTTTATGTCTTGATCCTCTCTTTATAAAGACATTTTACATGATTATGATATTTTACATTATTATTATTGCCATCATCATCATCATCATTTGTGACACTTTGATCTGGACTGCTACCCCCAAACCTACCCCTCACCTATGCCCACCTCCCACTGCAAGGACATTTCTGTTTCTCATTTCTGTGGTCTTGGCTCTCTCCAGAACAATGTTTATTTTCTCTTCAGGGACAGCCACTGGAAGGCATTAGGAGTATGGAACCTGGATTTTCAGAGCAGTGGCAGGATGAAGACTTTCCTGGATACTCAGGCACAATGCATTCAGGCTGAAGGCTGCAGTCCTCTTTCTTCATTACTATAGGAATGTTGGTCACCTGAAGCAACCGCAGGTTCCTGGGTTAGGCTGAACTGGTAACTGGAGAGAATTTTATATTGTGTCAGCTCATCCTCCTCCACCTACTTTCTGGACCTTGGTTATCCAGATCTTACCAGGTCTGGAACCCTTCTGAAGACTATTACAGTCCCAGAGGTACTCAACCTCTTCAGAGATTTAAAAGAAGCTAAAAAATGAAACGTGTTTCTTAACACCACTGGTAGCTGGTTCTGTAATCTCCTCACTGCCCTCACAACCGCCATAGTGGTTAGTAAAAGATTTATGGAAATCTCAAATCCTATGGTTTACAGCCAAGGAAAGCCAGATTTTTTAAAATTCATTTTTTCTTACTAGATGTTAAGTTTAAGAAAAGAAAACATCCAAATATTTTGATAATATTTCCCATTTTTCATGTATTAAATATCCACCACTTATGAATTTTAAGGTCTTAAGAATCATTTTCCTAATAGTTTTTAGTTTAGTCAGTTTTCATGTTACTGAATAAAGATTAAATCATGGATCACATTTCTTTTTCTTTCTTCCTTTTTTTTTTGAGATGGAGTTTCACTCTTGATATCCAAGCTGCAGAGCAATGGTGCGATCTTGGCTCACTGCACCCTCCACCTCCAGGGAACAAACGATTCTCATATCTCGGCCTCCCAAGTAGCTCGGATTACAGGCACGCGCCACCACACCTGGCTAATTTTTTTGTATTTAGTAGAGACGGGGTTTCACCATGTTAATCAGGCTGGTCGCGAACTCCTGACCTCAGGTGATCCACCTTCCTTGGCCTCCCAAAGTGCTGGGATTACAGGTGTGCACCACTGTGCCCAGCCTACATTTCTGTTAGGTACACAGCAGGATTATGATCCCTACAATGTTTGAAATTACTCACTGATAATGTAAATTTCCTGCATTTTTTATGCAAAAAAATATTTTTAAGTGCTACTACCTATGTTCCAAGTAATTTATGAAAAGGAAAAGAAAAACAGTGATTTTATTTTACTTCCTTATCTAATTTCTTTCCTTAATATCTGGTTTTCTGAAATCTACTTCTATTATAAAACACTGTATTTTAATTATAAAACGGCACAGGGCAGATAGGGCTTCCTAGCAGGTCCTTTGCACCTCTGATTAGAAGTGGGTTTTGTTCCATTTTGTTTTGTTATGCTTTTTTACTTTTATGTGCTTTCAGATTTTAACACTGAGCATGAATTAATTTTATAAACAGAAATGTATGCATATTTGTTGTAGAGAGAGAGAAGATTCTTTGAGAGGCAAGAATTCCTGTCATGTAGGGGCCTGGTCAAGAGACCTGAACGGGAGGGTACAGAGGGACCTGATCTGTGCTCACGGTCACAGCAGCTCTGAGCAACCAGTTCCAGCCGGTTCTTTTATATGTGCCGAGGAAAGTTCTAGAGCATTTTTGAGAAAAACAAAATACTGAAGAACAAGGCAAGGGAATCAAGAAAGCAGGGACAAAGTGACAGAGAAAGAAGAAGTATGACTCTGGACATAATATGGGACTGGGAAAACACCACACAGAGCCAGGTTGCTGCAGAATTTTTTAATTTGAGACAGTGATCAGAATAAGTTTAAGGTTGAAGAGCCTCAGGGTGAGGAGAAAGCCCATCATTCAGAATACAGGAACATCCAGCCCAGGTGCCATGACCTGAATGCACTAAGGGACAGGCACCAAGGAAGGCTCTGGCAGGGTCCGACCCCGAGAGGTTTTGGGACCCACCGTCATGGAGATGCCCCTCCCTTCATGTGAGGTGGGGTTTCTGCTCTCACTCTGCCTTTAGAGGTCCTACATGAGAACTACTGGGTGGCAGGGGAATAAAGGAGAATTAAGGAGAGAAGAGTTTACCAATGCATGCCTATCTTAGAGGAGAGAGGCTATGAAGGAGGCCTAGAGTCTTGCGGCCAGCTCCTGCTTTCTTTAAACTTTCAGGAGGGGGAAAGGATAGACGTCACAACTTCTGGGGATTGCTTTGTTAGAGACACAAGATAGTATGATTCATCTACCCTAAAACATGATTTTCCTTTGGAATAGATATTTCAGGATCAGAGAGTTGGGGAGATAGGTGTTCTTTTCCTTAATCTTCAAACACACACACATGCGCACACACACACACCGTACATACAAACACCTACACATATACCAACAAATACAATTCTACATATCCATACACACACACACACACACAGCTACACACACATGCTAAGCAGCTGCTTGGGTAGTACAAGATGGTTTGGTCATCAGGAGGCTGGGTAGGCAGGAGTGTGGAGCAAAGATGGAGAAAGATGGACACTTTGTTAGACATTCCTGCAGGTGGGAAACGGTAGTTACTTCTGCCAGTCGCTAACCCTTCCTAGTGGGCATTGAACTGCTGTAGGTACTCCAGGATGTCTGATTTGACTGTGCTGACTGGAGCCCGGTGGAACCAGCGCATGACAGGGACTCCATCGGGCCCCACCAGAAATTTCTCAAAGTTCCAGCGGATGTCATGGACTTTCATGGGCTCCCAGAAGAGCTGGCTTGATGAGCCCAAAAGATCAGAGGTTGGAGGGCAGGAGTTCTGGAGCGGAGACATGGAAAGTGGAAACATACATTTATTTCTACTTTATTTCTACTTCTGTGTGGTACAGTCTTATCTCCAGACTACAGAGTCTACTCACCATTATGTATTTTAATGTATTAACTACTTTGCATGCTTCCAATCAATCACAGACACTGCAATGTATCAATACCAATACACCAACTACTAAACAACCGAGAGCTAGAGAGTATAATGGTAAATAGAAAGCATTCCTCCTTCCCCTGTCTTTCCTCTATTCCCATTATTTTATCACGGCAATTCAGTAAAAGACTATTTTCTGTTTCCTTGGGCGAGTCATATCATTTCTACAGTTTGTTTCCTTAGCAGAAAAAAAAGATAGGTTGATTTAGAGTAGTGGCTCCCAGAATTTGGGGTTTCCTAGGCTTCATAAGCCAGTAAAATTTCAATAACTGTTTCCTTGGAGATTAACGTACAATCACTAATATTCATTTTGCCAATAAGAAAAATTAAAAGTCTACTATAAGCATAAATCTAAAAATTAAAGGATTTTTAATACCATGTTAAACCACATAAAATTGGTTATAGTGCCATTTTTGAGTAAGTAAAGGGCAATTTATATGGGTAAACATAATAGTAATTTAATGTCAGAATAAACGTCAGTCTTATATTCAATAAGTTGAGCTGTATGAAAAATTCTGCATTGTCTTCTTTCCCTTGTTTGCTGTGGATGAGTGAAAATTTCAGCAGGACCAGCCTTGTTCTGCAGACCAGTATTTGAGGCTGAGTAGACAAAGAGATCCTCGGGGGTCCTTCTATCCTGGTATTCTGTAGTTCTAACACTCTGTGACTCTAAAGGCATTTAGCACATGGTATTCTGGATCATCCATGTCTGTCTCCTGATTAAATGTGAGTTCCTTCAGGGAAGAGACTATGCCCTATTAATGTTTGTTAACTCATTATATGGCACATACTGAGATCTGATAAATGATTGCTGAATGAATGAATCATTACCATTCAATACAGGAGGCTAGTCCATGTCAGAGCTGTTGTCCATCATGGGCTTCCTCTACTTAAAGCTAAAGCCTCACAGCAGATATTGCCATGAGCCTTGAACTTACCTGAGCATCTGTTTTCCAAGGGGTCCAACCACAACCCTAGACATGAGCCCCACTGCTTTCAGAGCATTTCTAGCTAACCAATCCATGCCAGGTTTATACTCACTCACCTTCAGGAAAGTAAAGACCTTCTGTTCTTTTTCTCCATTCACATCCCCTTTCTCAAAGAGCTGGAAATTAGGGACAAAGCCACTACCTGGACGCACATACCTGCAGTGAATCAAAATGTTCCCAGAAAGATCCAAATTAAGACATGGATGGAAAATAATGACCACCACCAATTCACAGGAAATTAAAGATAAAGGGAAGAGGCTGTGCATAGGGAAGATAAGAAAAGATAGTCTGTGGGAAGCAGGACTTCATGCAATAGGCTTTATGGAGCCAATAGAGAATTCTAAGAAAATTGGAAGGCAATATCTTGAGCTTAGGTTTCCTGCTTCATTTCCATTTCTTATAATCCCTTCTTTCCTCTATGCTTCTTTTCCATTCAATCTTCCCTTAGCCTCATCATTGAATAATTCAAAAGTATAGAGAATATTTGAGCCCTGCAAATAGAATAGATTGAATTCAAAACATCATAAGGATATGCTTCAACCCATGTATCTATGTCCTATCCCAGAAGTTTCCAGAATAGGCAGGCATCTAGGTGGAATGAGGAGTGGAAATCCTGACAGGGCACCTGCAGAGTCCCATGCAAGCACTCACTTGAGTCCAAGAAGTATTTCTGAGTTTGTTCCTGGTTCTTGTTTTCCAAACTGGTTGCAGGGAAAGGCCAACACAACGACACCAAAATTCTTCAGCTCCTCCTGTAGTGCATTCAGTTCTGTAAGTGGAGAATGAATAGCACTGGTGGCTTGGTCAGGAGGCCTACCTCAAGCAGTGAAAGATCACTGAATGTATCCATTTATGCCATGAATAAACCAAGGACTATGAAGGGAAAGATTCAAGATTACAGAGATCAAAGGAGTAGAGAGAAGAAGAAAAAAAAAAAAAAGACTAGAGCACATGTTTCCAGAAATGCATCTAAATGGCTGCTGTTTTTCTTGTACAGTAAGCCATGCCTGGCTATACTTTACCATCCAATGAGAACTCTTATTTTTAAAAAAAAAAACACAAACACACACACACATTGGTAGCCTTGTGTGGGAGTCCTGTTTGATTCTAAAGAGAAGTCAGATTTGAGTGCCACTGTCTTCCTTAGTTGGTGAACTGATCAAAAAAATTTGTAAGGAAAAAGTAAACAAAATGGAAATACTACCCACCTATCCCCGCATCCCCCCAGCCCCACTCATACAATGTCCCATGGTGACACAACCAGACACTCCAGTGCCAGTTACATTCCCAGGAGTACTCCTTGGTGCTCCACCCTGAGAGTGGTAGAGAAAGGGAAATTCCAAGGCTATCTCTACAGTATTCTGTACCCTCTCCTCAATTCCAGTGACCTAACTGATGCTGGAATATGCCCTGGAACACTCCCTGGGACTCCAGGCCACAAACTCCAAACTGCTCTTTACCACTGTCAGGAACCTTCCAACTTGTGTGTTTAGACTTGAACAATAATTTCCATATTCAGCTATTTTCAGGTCAGATTTATTCAGACCTCAGAACCTCTATTGGCTGTTCTTATTCAGATTCAGCTCTGCCTGCTGGAATGTCCCCTAAGAACCTCTTCTTAAATAGAGAGTGTCTTCCTATTTTTCTACAGTTCTTTGGTTACTATCAATACTCATCCCTCTCTTATCTTTGGCCATCAAGAGTATTTCCTTTCTATAGCAGACACACTTAACAGACCCTGATTCTATTCCTTTGGTAAGTTTCTTTAATTCTCTCAATTTCCTCATCTGGAGTAAAATTTGAATGAGATGCTCTTTTAAATTCTCATGAACTAATTTAATAAATTATATCACAGCAACACAATGGAATACTATGCCTTAAAATGAATAAGGAAACTCACCATGTTTTTTTCTTTTGTTTTTAGACAGAGTCTCTCTCTGTCACCCAGGCTGGAGTGCAGTGGCAGGATTTCAGCTCACTGCAACCCCTGCCTCCCGGGTTCAAGAGATTCTCATGCTTTAGCCTCCTGAGTAGTTGGGATTACAGGCATGTGCCACCATGCCCAGCTAATTTTTTGTATTTTTAGTAGAGACAGGGTTTCACCATGTTGGCAAGGCTGGTCTCAAACTTCTGATATTCAAGAGTGATCTGGCCACCCTGGCCTCCCATAGTGCTAGGATTACAGGTGTGAGCCACCACTCCTGTCCCCAAGGTATGTGATATATGTGAAAAAGCAAGGTGCATAATCATTTCCATGTGTATGTTTGTGTATGTGTATGTGCTTGAGAGAAAGAAAGTGAGAGGGAAAATGTTTGCTTGTATATGCATAACAGATTTCTGGAAATATACACCATAAACTGATAATACTGGTTGCCTAAAGAGAAGGGAGCATGGCAAGTGCCACTGTTAAACCTTTATATCTCTTGAATTTTGAATGTTGCAAGTATATTGCCTATTCGATATGTAGCAAATTTAAGTTAAAATTAAATTAAATTAAATTAAATTAAAACAAATTTAAGAGCAGCTTCATATTCCATGGAACTGCTGTTTACACATCACAACTTTTAAAATTTACCATATTTTTCAAATTTAACTTTTTGAAGGGAGGAGAATTCTTGCTTGCTAAATGATACAAAACTGTTGTTTGGGCTCTAATACCTAGGTCCTGAGGTCCTATAGTAGATACACTTAGCGGACCTTGATTCTATTCCTTTGGCAAGTTCTTTTAACTTTCTCACTTACTAAATGATACTAAATCATTGTTTGGGCTCTTATAATAAAAATTTAGTCTGTAGCTTTTCAGGTTTTCCCTAGACTTGATTGTACATAAAAATAAAAAAAACTGAGGCCAGATGTGGTGGCGCATGCCTGTAATCCCAGCACTTTGGGAGACTGAAGCAGGTGGATCACTTGAGGCCAGAAGTTTGACACCAGCCTGACCAACATGGCAAAACCCAGTCTCTACTAAAAAAAATAAAATAAAATAAAATAAAATAAAATAAAATAAAATTAGCTGGGCGAGAAGATACACACCTGTAGTCCCAGCTATTTGAGGCTGAGACAACAGAATAGCTTGAATCCCGGAGGCAGAGGTTACAGTGAGCCAAGATCGCACCCCTGCACTCCAGCCTGGGCAACAGAGCAAGACCCTGTCTCAAAAATAATGATAATAATAAAGTGACCCAAAATTATTTTAAAAGTGTGATTCTTATCCTAATATGTACTTTTGAGAGTATCTTTTTATGCATAATTTTACCATTAAATTGGAAAAATATTTAGCTTCTCCAGAGGAGCAGGCATTTTATTAGAATTTTTGCTTAAATCATAAAGCATCCTCTGAATGTTAATTTTAAAATGCCAAAATTTGGTGAGCCCGATCTTTTAGACATGAGATTATAATATGCTTGACTTTAAGTGTTATTTAAAAGGGATACAATTCTGGGATTTTTATTATTGAAAATCCATTAAGAAAAATTGATAGGGTTTATATATTTTTGATCAGTTGAATAGATAACAGTGTCAACATGTGGAAAATTTTTCTTAAAACTTGTTTATGTATAGGCCAGGTGCGGTGGCTTATGCCTGTAATCCCAGCACTTTGGGAGGCCAAGGCTTGTGGATCACTTGAGGTCAGGAGTTTGAGTCCAGCCTGGCCAACATGGCAAAACCCTGTCTCTGCTAAAAATGCAAAAAGAAAAAAAAAAAATTAGCTAGATATAGTGGTGCATGCCTGTAATCCCAGCTACTTGGGAGGCTGAAGCACAAGAATCACTTGAACCTGGGAGGCGGAGGTTGCAGTGAGCTGAGATCACACCACTGCACTCCAGCCTGGGCAACAGAGCGAGACTGTCTCAAAACAAAACAAAATTTGTTCCTATATTATTTTGATCCATTTCCCTGTGGCATTTGGTGCAATAAATATTTTAAATTTATCTTGAACCGTTTTTTTTTAAAGCATAAAATAAAGTTCTTGGCCTGCCCAAAGTTGTATCTATCTCTAGTATAATTGATCTAGAATTTTAAATAATCTTTTTTGGATCAATAGCAATACCAAACTCTTCTCTGTTAAGGGCACAAAGAAAATGGAAACACACCTCAGCTACCACAGAAGGTTAGGCCAAGGTTGGCAAGATGGAGCATTCTTCTACATTGCCAGTCACATTACACAGCCCTTGCACTAATCAAAGGCTGCCCAGACAGAAAACTTCATTTCCCTCTTTGTCATTTGGAGTTGCCTACAGAACCCAAGGGCATTTTCCAGAATGTCAAAGATCACTCATCTCTCCTGTTTTTATCAGAAGTAACCGCTGAGAAGCATAAAATCAGTGCTTGAAAGCCAGGTATCTGGCCTGGGAGTCACAGCTAGGCTTTAGCACTCTCCTAGAAAACATAAACAATTTCATAGAACTTCAATATCACATAACATGTGATCATGATGAATCAAGACAAAAACAAGGTCACTGCATAATTGTAACTGAACATAGACAAAGCACGAACATTGTCCAAATCACAGCAATGACCAGGTACCACCCTATTCTTGCCAATATGAATGACTGGTGCTTCTTTACCAGGTACAACTTTAGCCTTAGTTTCTCTCCCCATGTAGATATAATTGATTAAGATACCAAATCATATAATTGCTCCCAGTTCTTGATGGTATCCAATTCAGAACAGAACTTCAATTCCTTGAACTCGTCTCCAAATCACCTAACAAAAGCTCAGATTCTATAGTAAGTACTTTCTAATACTTTCATGTTAAGAAGCCCCATGGTTCTCTACAGAACATGTTCTCCTTCAGGGCACTGAGTAACACACTCAACTTGTTCAACTACAAGTGTGCTCCTGGTGGTCTTTAAGTCTTTGGGAAAGTCTTAGTTCTCAAATCTGGAAATAATTATCTTGATATTCTAAGGAGCCGAGCAGGAGCAGCATTTAGGGAGGCAGAGTCACCTGATCACTTCTCCCACTGCATCCTCTAACAACACATTGGTAAAACCTTCTGGAATTAGAATATGGTTATCTGGCAATGCTGCTTCCAAAAGAGTTGAAACGTGAGTTCTTACCAGGATACTGAGCTGCCAAGCCTCAATAGGTGGCTACATTGACAAACAGGACGTGCTTGCCTGCAAACTGCTTGAACTGGATGTACTCCTCACCGTTCAGGGTGAGGGCTCCATACTCATAGATGGTGCCTGTCACTCCTTTGTTGCAATCCACCTGGAATGTTACAAAAATAACCATAACGATATAAGATAAACAATAATTTCCAACATTTGTGGACTTTTTCAAAACACTCAAAGACCCTTCATGTAACATCTTGAAATTCTAAGAACTGAAGGGACATTTCCAAGTAAAATTTTTAGTTAGAGCTGATGCCATAGCTAGAATTTATGTCTTCTAACTTATAATCCATTTTTTGTGTGAGGGTGGCAAGAGAAACATTTCATAATATTGTTCCTGTTTCTAGAAGGTTAATACCATTTATTTCTGTTCCCTGACATTGCATTCTTCCCCGACATCCTAACACCCCATTCAAGTCATGCCGTCCTCTCTCAGATACTCTTAACAGATTTTTTGCAGGATTTCTCACAAGTAAGTTTTGCACAAACTTCTCATCTATATGTTCTTATATTATAATTCCTATCCCCCAAAATCAGGCCCATAACTTCTCCAGATGCCATTGAAGGGCCTTTCCAGGCTTCCCAGTGGGGTATTCACTGGTGATGGCAGGGAGGGGCAGCGGGAAAGTGCTGGATAGAGAAAGGTGGGTCCCTGACCAGGGCTCCACCCTGAGGCTTGTGCCCACGGACCTAGGTGAGGACAGGCACTCCTGCCTCTCACCCAAATGTTGCCTGCCCCGCCCCCATCCCGTGACTATAAAAACCCTGAGACCCTACCAGGCAGACACACAGACGCTGGACGTACAGAGGACCACATCTGCGGAGGAACACACTCGACTGGCCGGACGCGGAGAGGGAGCACCAGGGTAGGAGCACACCGGAAGGCCATTGACGGCGGAAGGACAAGGAGGTTGGCCGAGAGGTAGGAAAAGAGCCCGGACTCCAGGGAAAAACCATCCATCTTTTGGCTCCCCCATCTGCCGAGGGCCACTTCAACTCAATAAAACCTTGCACTCATTCTCCAAGCCCACGTGTGATCCGATTCTTCCTGTACCCCACGGCAAGATCCCTGGGATATAGAAAGCCCTCTGTCTTTGTGATAAGGCAGGGATCTAATTGAGCTAACACAAGTTGCCTATGGATGGCTGAACTAAGAGCACCCAGTAACACACGCCCACTAGGGCTTCAGCTGTAAACATTCACCCCTAGACACTGCCTTGGGGTAGGAGCCCCACAACCTGCCTCTCTGTATGTTCCCTCTCTGCTCCCCTAGAGGTTTGAGCAGTGAGGCACTGAGGAAGCGAGCCACAGCTGCCATCGCATGCCCTCTGAGAGGGACAAGGGAACTTTTCTGGTTTCACTGCTACCTTCAAAACTCATTCTTGACACCCACTTCTCATCTTTATATTGTGAAACATCCTGGACTGCTCATGAATTAAAGTTCATAAAATAGAAAGTACAGAGCGGAAAAACTTTCTACCCACAAGCATGCCAAGAATAAAAGGCATGCAGAACCCGGAACAAAAGGCTAAGATGTTATCTGGTAAGAGAGGCTATATTCCTGGCCGTATGACGAAAAGTCATAGAATTTTAGAGTAATTTAAACTGGGCTTCACAGGATCTCAGCCCTTAAAGGCATACCCCATGCAGTGAAGGAATTGCCTATGGGTGAGCTACTGTGGGGAAAGTGGGGCAAGAAATTCTTTACCATCTTCGGAGTCTGTCACCAGGACACAAGACCATAGCTTCTCCTTCATTATCCTTGGAGAGAAGGAGGCTTGACCTAGGGACAAGCCCTTTCCTTCTGAGTCCATACTTCTGTACACATCTGCGCATATACATCAGTCACAATATTTGGGAACATTAGCCTAAGAAATCCACTATGGTGGGGTTGTCATCTATGTGCCTGCATTCTCTTTGCCTTCATGACACCTTACCTCTGAGCTAAATAATTTCCAGCATTTGTCTTTCTTGCTACTATAATAAAAAGTCACACGGAAATCACCATGTGAGCTGTCATTTGTATGCCTCCATTTTCTTGCCTTTGTGCTACCTTAGCTCTGAGTGTGACACCTTCCAAAGGTTTGCTTCTCATGTGGATGTCACTCTGTGAAATGAGATGCAGAATCCCAAGAAAATTGCAGCCTCAAAGAGCTCAATCTTTCCTAACCAGCTTCCAGTTCTGCTCTAGTTTGCTTACATCTATTTGAAGAAGACAGAATACCCTAGAACACAGCTCTTAATTCACAAGATGATATTTTACATAGAAAATTCCACATCCAACCAGGCAGCAGTGGCTGACATAGATCTGGATGACCCTCGGAGATTGTCCCTTCAAGTAATCTGTTACCTTTCTTGAAAGTAAGTAAGTAAGCTGTCTTACGGCATTTAATAGACACTATCTTACACTTCATATGAACCCAATAACAGAGATTAAAGCTCAAAGCTTCAGGTTTGTAGACCTGCATGAGTATCAACTGGAAGCATTTTAGAAAAGCAAGTTCCTAGGCTCCCCCTAAAACTTACTGAATCAGAAACTCTTGGGTGGGGCCCAGCAATTGTGCTTTAAGCAGCTCTCTCTGAGGTAAGCTCAAGTCTGGGAATCACTGCATTATATGATGGGCATTGTTCCCCACCTTTTATAGAGGAGAAAAAGGAACTAACAAAAGATATATAATTGGCATACGGCCACCACTGAGGCAGCTTTTGAATAAATTCATCTGATTATAAAGTTAAACTTTGCAGGTGCCTCAAGTGATCTGCTCAGTCTGCATCCTAAGACATATATACACATCTTTTACAGGGGTGGCTATTGACATCCAGTGGGAGAACTTTTCTAAATGGCATCAGGAGATTTGGGAGCAACACCAAGATCTGAGAACAAAGCCTACTCTGAGCTGAGCTTTGTCTCTACCTCACCTCATGATCCTCCCTAAAATTAATATTGGTGGACAACCATATTGGCCTTGTGTGTTTTATTTTTCTAGGGGTGTGGGAATAGGGGGAGCTCCTCTTTCCGTGACCTTGAAACTCCTGGTGCAGATCCCAACACCAGATTCTCTCACCTCTCCCTCTGGGTTTCTGGCTGAGCAGGCTCTCCAGGAGTAGCAAGGGCAGCCTCCCTGCCAATCCATTTGCTACTTCATGCCTCATTTGTTGGGATCCACAACACTACCCCAAGTTACAGACAAGCATGAAGGGGACAGGCTCTAGGCTATCAAGGGGCCACCAGGGGGAAGTGGCAAAGGGGAATGTGCTGAGGCAGCCCCCAACCCCACTCCACATACATTCAGTTCAAAGAGCCACTAGGTGCAGAGGAAAAGATGCAAGTAAGAGACAGTGGATTTAGGGAGAGCCCGCTAAGGATAGCAATGTCAGGATTTGTGAAGATCTGCTGGGAATGCAGATCTTGTCCTTCGAAAGGAGAGAGGAGAGAACTCCTCACAACTCTGGCAGCCCAGTTGGTCATTATGTGCTAGAATCAGCTTGGATCTCCTGCCCCATGCTCACCTTCCTATTTTGAGGCTTTAGGGTCTGCTGAGCAAAGCCAACCAGGAACAGCAGGACAAGACAGCAGGCCTGAAACTGCCGGATCATGGCTAGGAGTTTTAGTCGACTCTGAGGTCCCCAGGATTTCAGCCCCTTTTGAACTCTTGGCAGGGACTAGTTTGAAGAAGCACCCTCCAATAGCAGAGTGGCATTCATACACACCCACCTCCACTCCCTACACACACCCCCTTCTTCTTCAGTTGTAAACCCCTCACCATTGAGCTTGCTCCACCTGCCTTGCCTCTGCCAGCTTCACACAAAAGGCATTCTCTGCCTCTTGAAACTAAAGTCTGGGTGAGGTTGAGTTCTTGTGAACTCTCTTGAAATACAAGCTTTTAGTTATCTCAGATTTCTGAGCTCTTTTCAAAAGCCTACAATCTATGTCCTAATCACTGATACCTGATCCAGCTATGCAGCTCCTTAGGGCAGCAGGTCAGATGCTATCCTCTTATGGAACAGACCTACACACATTCCCAAGCTCTTTACCCTTCTGCTTTTAGCTCAAAAAAAATGGCTGAAGCTTTGACTACGAGGCTATAAAGACTATTGAAATCAATACCTATCGGTGCAACTGACTAGCTCCTTGACTCTGAAATAAAAGTTAACGTGTCTGTCCCCAGTTTTCTCATCTGTGAAATCAGCATAATAATATTATCTACCTTATAGGGCTGCTGTGACAATTAAATGTGATAATAACTATAAAGCACTTACCACATGGCCTGACAATGGTAAACAACTAGAACTGTATTCACACAGTTTTATGTATGAGAAAACTGAAGCTCAGAGAGAGACAGAGATAACATATAAAAAGTCACAGAGTGGGTAACAGTGAAATGAGGGCAACTTCTGCTTCCTACTCCACATCTCTTGCTCTGGTTCCATTTGGATCATAATTATTGTGATGAAATCTTTACTATCTGAGACAATTTACATCTGCTCACCTTGTAGTAATGAGCCCTTGAGAGGTAAGGAGACATTTCGTTATAGACCCCATCAGTAGGTCAAATGGCCTAAAACCGCAACTTCATAGGTTTTGGTGTTCCCACATTCTTGATAGACTTTTGAGTACCTTGGGTACTTGCCTCCAGCAATGAGAAGTGAAGGTACAGGAGCACACACTGAACAGGAGGAAACAAAGAACATTTCATATCCCTGGTCCACCCAAAGGTATCATGGGGCTGCAATTGCCCTTCACCCATCCTCCTTCAGAGCCTTGGTTCTATGTTATCTCCTTCCAGGAATTTTGCTTTCATCCCTTAGCTGTCTCCTCACTTCCAGGATCTTCTCCAGTCCCTATTTCCTTCACACTCTGCCTCTATGACTTTTCTAAAGGTCAGGTTTGTTGATCTCGCTCATGTTAAAGTGCCCCAATTCCTCCTGAATTCTTACACTTTTAGTTTGAAATTATCCCGTGAAGCACTCAAGGTCCTGTCTGATTTGACATCAGCCAGATTTCCCTGATGTAACCTTCCCTCCAGAAATGTTCTGATTGTGGCAGATAGAACTGTCTTCATCATCAGAGTTCACCTATCTGGGGTTGACTCTAGATCAAATCTTGGCAATTACTTTGGGGATCATTCCTGAGAGATTTTATGATATACAAATTACATATTTTTATTCAAAATGATGGATACGGCTTTATTGAAGAAGACTTCCGAGGTAACTTTCTGAGACTTGAGTCACAAATCAGGGTTCTGGTGAGCTTGACCAGGCCTTAATATATATTAGGAGCCAGTTCACATCCTCACCCTCCTCCTTAGAATTTGACTTAATTTATTAATTTACATTTTAAAACCTATTCTGTCCACAGATAGAAACATTATTTCAGGTCTGATTTCATCAATCAAGAGCATACTCTTTGGATACTAATCAGCAGAGTCCACAATGGCATTATTTTCTCTAGTATCATTGAAACATTATTGGTTCACTTATTTTAGTTTTTAATTTTTATTAGTTCACTTTTAACTTAAGGTCAAATAAACATCAAAGTTTATATGAATTGCCACTGCAATGTTGGTGCCTATTATTGTCTATCCACCCAAGCAATTGATCTTTTAAATCTGAATTCTGTCATCTATCAGACTAGCTGTATTTATCATCTATTAATGATCTACACATTTGATTAGCATACGTTTTGCATCTTCCACTAAATACATTAAAGTTTATAGGATAGAAAGAAGCCAAATGCAGAAGTTTCCGCCCAGGACTAGAGTTTAACTTACTCCTTCTTATTCAAGATGCTTGTGGTTGATTTTTGGTTAAGCTATGTTCCCATTTAGTGATCAGTACTCACATATGTTCATAAGTCACTTGTTTAAAATATGTCTTAAAAGGTAGTAGAAGCCCCAAGTGGAGCTTTTTCTTAGGTTCTGAAGTTTATTTCCCTTACTTTGGACAGTCAAAACATTTGCATGTCTACCAAGACATGTAGCATTCGTGCTTGCAGGCAGGGATGGTCCTCAGTGTGTATACACAGGAATATGCACGGCAGTTGTTGGAGCCCAGGATTTGTTCTGATTGGTTGTGCCCATGGCATACTTCTAAATATATATATACACACACACATACATTTTGGGACAAGGTCTGGCTCTATCAGCCAGGCTGGAGTGCAGTGGTATGATCTCGGCTCACTTGTAACCTTTGACTCCAAGGCTCAGGCCATCCTCCCACCTCAGCCCCCTGAGTAGCTGGGACTAGAGTCGCATGCCACCAAACCCAGCTAATTTTTGTATTTTTAGTAAAGATAGGATTTTGCCATGTTTCCCAGGATGGTCTTGAAGTGGTGATCTCAAATGATCCACCCACCTAGGCATCCCAAAGTGCTGGGATTACAGGCGTAAGCCATCCCACCCAGCCCTGCTAAATATTTTAATGTCAGCTTTGATTGCAGAACCAATACAGGCAACATAAGGTTTTAATTTTTTATCTTGAGATCTGCTTGTCTGTGCTGTGCTGTGTCAACAAATTCACATAGAACAAGTAGATGACTTTTATTAATATCTCAGGTTTAACTTTAAATTTCCTTTTTGTTCTACATTTTTTTCTTCTTTTAAATTTAAAAAATGTGTTTTTCTTACTGGAGAAGAAAGAAGCAAAGGATATGTTAAAAACATAGCTTTTTATCACTGTCAAGGTGTAACACTCTACAATTTTACTCAAATTATGTATTACCTCTTCCTTATTCCTGTTCTGTTATAATTTAGCTTGAGCGCACACACACACACACCCCCACACACACAGAGAGAGACACTCACAAGAAGCCAGTGCAGAGCCATCAGAGGGGAGGCACAAATGTTTGGGAGATCATGGATCCTCCTGCTTGTTGCCTCTGTTTGAAGATAGGCACTATAAAATTTCTTCTTTCCCAGCAGCAAGTGCGGCAGAAGGCATGTAATGAATTTTCTATTAACTTGCCTTCTATGAAAGATTAATCATCCCTTAGAAGGGTCAAGGTTTGAGCAATGCCAGCCCTAGTTACCTCCTATTCCAGTGATAGCTTTGGAAGGCTTCTTAACTGCTTCCCTGATTCTGAATTCACTGAATCTCACTTTTTTCTTTTTCTTTTTTTTTTTTTTTCATTTCTACACTTTTTACCCATTGCCATCTCTCATTACTTTATCCTTTTCTCTCTCCTTATTGTGTACAAGAAAAAAAGTTAGGATTCAGGATTTAAACAATCCTGGCTTTAAGTTGTTTCTCGCTACACAATTTTGGGCAAGTTATTTAATTTTTCAGTGTATCAAGTTCTTGTTCTTTTGTAAAAGAACATAACAGTAATGACTTCTAAAATAAAGATTAAGTAAGAATTTATATCTGGAAATGCCTGGCACATACAGTAACAACTCAATAAATGCTGATATAAGTTCCCATTATTTCTTTTTCTTCTTTCTTTTTTCATTTTCCTTCCTGCTCCATTTATCTCTTATTTATCTTCTTATCTGCTCTATTCCTTTTCTATTCATCAGTTAAAGAAGCTCCCAACCTTGAGTATCTCCAGCTTATTACATTTTAATTCAGCTTTTTTATTAAGGAAAATTTCAAACATATATAAAAAGTAGAGAGGAGTATAATTAGACTCACATACCTGTTGCCCACTGCGTCTATGATCTATGATCAACACAACTCACCACCAATTTCATTTTACTTACATCTGAAAAAGCTTGTTACCACAGCCCCCACCCTTGCACACATACCCATCCTCACTGAATTATTTGGAAGTAAATTCCAAATGACATATCACTTCACCTGCAAATATTGTCTGCCCTTTCTGATCATAGCCAGGAAAACAGCCAATATTTGTCCCTGGGATATCTCTGGGATGTCTACAGGGTGTTTCTATATCAAAACCTGGTGTTTTCTGACTGGCTTTGATGCCTTTCACAAGTTGCCACAGGCTGAGGGATTGCAGAACGGGAAAGGAGAAGCCAAACTGTCTCAGCCTTTAATTTGTTCTAAATCAGATTCTGATTGCAACTGTTGTGGGGGCACAGTTGTAGATTTATCTAACCTAGGCCTTGTGACTTGGATGAGACAATCTCTAAACTTTACTGAGCATCTGCTTCTTATGAATATTGTTGTGGCCTGAAAAACATGACCTATAAGACATATGTTTGAACTCAAAATGTATTGATTGTTACTCGTGTTTCCCAGTCTTCTAGGAGTAAGAATTGGTCAGATAAGTGCCAATGATGAGAATCTCTGAAAAGCTGAGAAACTAAACTGTCTGCCTTAAAAGGGACTTTGGTGGTTTTTCTGATCCAACTCCTGCTTTGTGCAAATACGTAAATTCAGGCCTGTAGAGGAGCGGCGTTCTCCATGTTCCACAGTTCTACTGAGAACTGTGATAGTCTGCAGTGTGTGCTGGTGATGTGAGGCATATTTATTCTTTCCTGGGGAGCAGTAAGGATCTGAGTCATAGACTGCAGAATTTCCAGGTGGGAGGGCATCTGCTTTTGAATGGTGTGGGTCACTCAAATTCCTGTGTGTGGGCAAGGACACAGTGCTCTCTCCCCCACGTCCTTCCCAGTCCGTTAAAGCAGGAGTAATAG